TTTGTCATTCGCTGAACAAATTTCTCAATAGGAAAACCGGAGCTCGATATGATCAATAAGATTGTAGTTAAAGTGGGCGAGAGAGCTCGTGCAACATGTAACATATTCGCTTATCCAAAAGCGAGCGTGGAATGGTCATTTGAATCGCATTCAACATCGGGAATTTCTAGCGCAAAGAGTCTCACAGTGAGTTTCATTCAATAGTTTTACCGCTCCATTGATTAATTAGAAAGTAAATCGATTCGAATTTGATGAATTTATGCTTTTGTTACTTTGATATTTTCCGAACAAGGATTTCAATACAACCGAAACCGAATATAACCAAGCCACGACAGCAAGTATAGATGCAAGAGAAAATGGAAAAATGATTTGCAGAGCAAATAATGCACATGGTAGCAGTGAGACTGTGGCTCAGCTGTTCATTAATGATTTGGATGAAGAGTTTGAAATTCGAAGCGATAATAAGACCATTGTGATCAATTACAGAGCAGTTGTCGAATGCGGAGCTGCGTCATTCAAGTATGGGGAAGTGAATTGGTACAAAAACGGTGATCTAATCGATCCAATTAATAGTAAGTATACAATGCTGTATGCAAATTCGAGTCGAATAGCTGGAAAAAAAATTATGATTTCATTCACCATTGAATGATAATTGTTCAATACCAAAATCGTAATACAATCAACTGATTCAACATTTTTAGCTCCAGGAGTTGAAGTGAAGTCGAATGACACCAGCTTTTCAATTCGAAAAGCCATGCATTGGGATAGTATTACGAAAGCAAGCGCTGGAAATTATACTTGTCGAGCGAAAAATAAAGAAACGGGCAAGAGTGAAACAAAGCATTTCACGTTAGATGCTGTCGAACCCGAAGAGCCCAAAATAACTGAATCGAATTTTGAAAATGGAGCCATAATGAAGGTTGAACTAACAGAGGCGGTCAATTTGACTTGTGAATTTTCAGGAGTTCCACCACCCGAATTGAATTGGTGCAAATATGAAAAAAATGTGAAAAAAGCTGTCGAATTCAATAATCATGATCACATGTGCCTCGCAAATGATGGAAAAATGCTTCGCTTCAAGTTCACTAAAGATGAAGACCAAGGCAAATATGAATGTGAAGCAAAATATGGCCAAAAATCGGATCAACGTTCGGTCACTATAAAAATCAGTAAGGAATCTAATTCTTTATTTTTGAGAATACCAGTTTTGATTAGAGCATGTTTTATTTCAGATGCGCCATGGTACAAAAGCGCATATTTCACAATCGGATTGGTGATTCTGATAATCATATTGGTGGTTTGTTTGATTTTATGCGCGTGGGCTGTCTATCGTCATCGGAAAAAACTTAAAAGAGCTGGTTTGAGCAATTTTATGGATGGACATATAGATGATTATAACCCCGAACTGGCATTGGATGCTCAGGCTGATCTGCTGCCCTATGATAAAAAATATGAATTTCCACGCGACAAACTGAAATTTGGCAAAGAACTTGGCGCTGGAGCTTTTGGAGTCGTCAAGGAAGCAACGGCACAAGGCATTATACCCGGTGAGGAGGAAACGACAGTTGCCGTCAAAATGGTGAAGAATAATGCCAGCAATGAGGTTTGTCAATGGTCATCAACATTATTTACCATGAAATTGTTTTAGTTTCTCATTTTTTCATTCCATTCACGACTGAATAAATTCAACAGGTGATGCGGGCATTAGTATCTGAACTGAAAATCATGGTCCATTTGGGTCAACATTTGAATGTCGTCAATTTACT